TTTCATTGACAACTGTCGCAGTTTATAGGAATCACGGACACTATAAAAATATGCCATACATCAACTGAATTTAAATTTATGTTAGTCTTTCTTCATGAAGTTAAAGAAATCCTTTCAATTAACATCATTTTTGGCATGGACAACCATTTTAATAATATCTTAATATCTTATAACAATCGAACAACAAATACCTGAGTTATTTAAGAATTCCTTTTTTCTATTACTAGAACAGATGGAAGAAGAAGCACAGCTAACGGCAACCAAATGCATATTTAAGCTGCAAACAGGGTATCAGCAAATCGAGCAGCATCAGCCATAGCACGCTTGTTATTATTATTGTTGTTGTTGTTATTGTTGTGTGTGTGTGCGCTTACACACGCAAATGTCTTATTTATGCTCAGCACTTTTCGCTATCCCAGCGACAACTGCGTTTTTGCTTCATCCTGTGGCTGCAACAGCACAGATCACAGCAGGGCTGGTAGCAGGGGGTGGCGGGGGTGGCAGTGCGGGGGAGGGTGCCTTGCTTCTTAGCATTATACACACTGTTGTGGCTGTGGCGCGTCTCAGTGCCGTCTGCTGTTCTTGTGGCTTCACTTGCAAATGTTGCCTCAACAATATCCTGTGTGGATCCAGCTGTGGGTGTGCATGTCCGTGTGTGTGTGTGTGTGTGTGCGATTGTGTGGGTGTGTGTTTGTGGTGTGTGTTTCTGTTGCGGACGCGCTACGCCATTTTACATTGACTTGGGTCACGGAGGTAACTTCAGTTTCAGCAGTTAGTTAGCAACTGCGGTCATGTTGCATAATGTGCTCCACATGCCGAGAGAATGAAATTATATAATTTTCGTCAGCCTGCTGGCAAATAAGAGCTGGGAGCTTTATAAGGAGTACGTTTAACCAATTTGCAAGCGCAGCTAAGCCGATTTTTAGAGAGAAACTCTTAGACGGGAATATAGCTGATTATATGTCAACAGGTTTTAGTATAATATTTTAATATATGTATATAAAGCCTAGAGAAAACTGCGATTGGAAGGGTGCATGGGTGAAAGAGGATATGGAAGATACTTAAAATCTACTTTTCAAATGACATTGACATTAGGATAAGAGTTGACAAAAAGATCGCAATGCAAAAAAGTACAAAAAGCGATAAAAACTCAGTTTCTCTGTTAAAAAGCTATTAGCAGCATGTTAATTTACAGAGCAGCGGCAACATTGCAGCGTTCTGTTAATTAACCGAAACTTAACAGCAAGTATTGCTCGCCGAGAAGAGAGAGGAACTACTTGAGATCGAACGCAACTTTGCGACCCATAATAAAATCTACGACCACAAACGAACTAAATAAAACATTGTTTCAAGTTCAAAGTATAATTTTATAAATTTAAGTTGGAGTTAAATCTCCTTTGATGCAAAGTTAGGAGCATCTGTTGCAATGAGAGCTTTGCAGCGTTATACATCAACTGTCACTGTAATCAACTTAATAACATTTTATTAAAAATTAGTATTCTTTATCTAGGTAGAGTAATTTCAATAAATATATTCATGGTTCGACAGACAGTTGCTTCTGTTACGAATACTGAATCGTTAAGTATTTAAAATTTGACTGGCACGTTTTTTTAGTTAAAGCGGCTTTAGCTACTTTTGAGCACATAAAAAAGTACAGTTCCGGGCGCAAACCGATTCGATTTATGTATATATATTGAGCTCTATATATACGTATATATATTTATAATTTACATTTTTATTGTAGCGCACAGTAAACAGAGTTGAGCTGGCGCATTTTTATGCCCTATTTGAGGTAGGGCAAGGGATTGCAGTGTGGTCGAGCTTGTTGCTTTTTGCGACTCGCTCGCACTCCACAATTTTTTATACCCTGAACCCATTAAAAATGGGTATAAGGGTATATTGTATTTGTGCAAAATCCAAATGTATGTAACAGGCAGAAGGAAGCATCTCCGACCCCATAAAGTATATATATTCTTGATCAGCATCAATAGCCGAGTCGATCTAGCCATGTCCGTCTGTCTGTCCGTCCGTCCGTCCGTCCGTATGTATGAACGCAAGGATCTCAGAACCTATAAGAGCTAGAGAAATTTTAGATGTAGCTGCTCCTAGTTCCCGCGCAGATCGAGTTTGTTTCCGATAATCGATAACTTACTCCGTTTACAAGCAATCGATAAAAATCGATATCAATATCCTGTTTTTTGGTCAATTTTGGTAAATAATAAGAGCTAGATTCACTAAACTTGACATATAGCTTCTAAAATAGAATATATATATGCATTTGATGTTGGAAGAAGAGGGTTCAGGGTATCCCCTAGTCGGGAGCTCCGGACTAGAGCCTCTTCTTGTTGTTACTGCTTTGGCCATACTTCAACTTCACTCGTGCTTTTCTTATGCAAAAATCCATTGAAGTTGTGATTGTTGTTGCTTTTGTTGTTGTTTTGCTTGTTATTTCTGCATAATAGAAATTGTTTATATGCAATGCCCATAGATATATATATATATTTGAGCAGGACCCGGCTGGCTCTGGCTCTGGCTGCGCTGGCTTCGTGGGTATCTGTGCAGCTTCTTCTCTAATAGACCCTTGCCAAAAAGGCTCACTTTTATGCTGCTTATTATGGCTCAAGAATGGCAAGTCGCCCGCCTCCAGCCCCGTTGCCTGTGCATATTTTTAGCCAGCTTCAGTCGTGAAAGGCAAAAACAAAAAATTACATTTAAAACGGTCGCATAATCTTATTAACTGAAAACTGTCGCCATTAACTTAATAAGCAGCCAAGTTTATAGTTGACAACTGTCGCTTGAGCAGGAGGGAGGAGCTGATCGGGGGTTAGGGGTTAGTTAGGGTCTGAGCAGTGCAACATGGCACGTTATGCAATTTAACAAAATTATTTAAAATTCCGTAACTTTGTGCTATTGCAAAAACTGGGCCAGCAGCTAAAACTTTGCAACATGCCAACTTGGGGCAGCAACAACAACAATTTGAACTCGTAGTCCGTGGGTCAGTGTTGCAAGCGGCGCAATGGCAACTTTTAAATTAACCCTAATTCCAACAGGAACAGCAACAGCAACAACAACAACAACATCAACAATTTTATATATATTTTATTTACTGAAAAAAAAGTTTGCAATATTCTTGCACATTTTTCAACTTTAACAATTTATTAAATGGGTCAAAAGCCACTAAAACTTCATTTATCATTGCATGAGCAGGCAACACACCCCCACCCCTACCCCCACCCCCGCCTCCATCCACATGCCCGCTTGTCCCTATGCATTTAGCTGACGCGCAGCACTCTGTACAATTATTGCTAGCCATGTCGTTATACCCTCTACGCATTCGCTTATAGGGTATGTGCAGAGAGCAGGTACAAACATTTTAAAGAGATTTAAAAACGAAAGATATTTGATGTCTGTTTAATGCCCTGTAAGATATCCAAGTAATTTCTCCCGATACTTCCATGGGAATTCACTAATTTATAATTCTATTCTATGAAGATTAGATATACATAAGATGCTTTCACAGCTTTCACACCTAAAAATACCAATCAATACTCAGTATTTTATCGCCTAACAGGGTATTTAATAGTCGGTTCGAAGCCATGGCTTGCCAACTTGTTGGTCGGCACTTGCAGCGCGTTAAAATGCCAACAAATCGCAGAGACGAATGAGCTCAGCAACTTGAAGCGTTTCCGGTACGCCGCAGCAATTTTTTTCGCCCCTGCATTCCGGCCAGTGGCAGCGCCCACTCAAACCCACTTGTCCAGCTCACCGCCTGGCTGCCCCACCTGGCACCCCACCAAGGAGTGCACAAAGAAAATACACGGCACAAGTTTGTCGAGCCAAAACAAGCGGCAGCGCACAGCAAAAAAAAAAACGGAGAAGAAGGCCAAGAATTATACAATTTATTAGCACACTGTGAACCGAGTTCGGGACGAGTATCAAAACCGGCAACTGATGGGGATAATAGAATTTTAAATATGCATGCACGCCCAGTTCTGTGCACATTTTTTTATTTTCATTTATTTTTATTTTTTTTTAATTTAAAGGTTCAACCTGGCTGCCGCTGAGAAGTCCATTAAATATTTAACATCACGTGGGGCATTTTTATTTTACGTAATGTACAGCAGTTGTACTATATTAGTTGCAAGGTGAGTGTCCGCTTCGCAATGGGGTGGGCCTAACGGTAATACGCAGGGGGCATGGGAGTAAAAGTCTTTCTAATTGTTGTTCTGTTTATTTGAAATTAGTTAATTGCCATAGTATGATGGGGTATAAGAGTTGTGTGGAAAGGAAAATGCTTTCTAATTGTAAATATATGTGGAATCTTGTAATCGAATATTGAATTGAATTGGAAGACTCACCCACAAAAAATTAGTCATTTTTTAAATATATTTGCTGCTTGCCAATTAACATTATTGCTTTTTCACAACGAAGCCTTAAAAAAATATTTGTTGCACAAAAAAAAAATCACTTAAGGATTTGAATTTAAACTTAACAGCTACGTTCTCGCGCCAAAGCTCCTTCGTTAAGAAACGGCTTATCGAAACTATCGATTTATTTGATGAACACACCGAGTAAACTGTGGCGGTCGGCTAATGAGCAAACACTCAACGAAATTCACTCAACGAAAATTTCACTATCTGGCAGCACGCGCACATTGCCGCCAAAAAAAAAAAGTATTTTGCAGCCTGATAGAAAACCAATTAATTGCGCCTATTTCAAACACTTTGCAGCATTTTGTGATCGAATTTACATTCACGCAACACGAAGCTGGCACGCCACATTGGAAAAACACGAAGTAAGAACACATTTTTTTTAATAAACCTCACTAACAGAAACCAACAACCCGCGAGCTCACAGAGAAAGCGCGGCGACTAAATTGTGGCGGCAAGTCGATAACTTTATGTCATGCGACCAGCTTAAGGTTGGCTGCGTTAATGTATTAAGTTGGCGCTCAAATTCAAATAATCATTAATTGTATTGCTTATATATTTTATTTTTATTTCTAATCATATAGTTGTAAAAATATAGCATAAGTTTTCTATATCGAGACTATAAAAAGTTAATGCGTAATTGCAAAAATCACATTGTATTAAATTTAATTAAATTGAGTGTCAACATTTTGTTTCATTTTTAGAAAACTTTTCTTTTTTGGTAATGCATAGTAATTGCTAAGGAACACTGTAAAGACGCTATGATTAATGCTACGAGGTACTCCAGCGCATTAGGAGCTACACATAATACTAAATAACAAAATAAGGAATTTGAAGAGCCCTGTATTAAAAAGTAAATACATGTAAATCCCCACCCTAGCAATGCCTAGGCATGCTCTGCACTGCGCGGCACGTTAGCACGATTCTCAACAAGCGGCTGCAGTGGCAACAACTTGACCGTCTTGTAGCCACGATCACGTCGCAGCCACAGCCAATTGTCACCATTGAAGTAGTCCTCGATGTGCTCCAGACTGCGACCCTTCGTCTCCGGCTGGAACAGACACATGAATATCGTCAGCAGGAAACTGGAGCCGGCAAAAACCAGAAAAACACCACGCATTTTCAGCGCCGATTGCAGCGCCGGAAAAGCCTTGGCAAATATGAAAAGCGCCACATTCATCGAGGCAAATACACCGCCAGCTGTGCGTCCTCGTATGCGCGCCGGGAACAGCTCACCGATCATAATGCCCGGCATCACCATTAGCGCCGTATTGAAGACTATATAGCCGAGTAGACAGCCGCCCGCCACAAGCACATCGTAGGGCATCCTGGGCTGGCCCATGCGCATATACATAAACACGCTCAGCGCCAGACAGAACACGCCCGAGCCAATGCCCGAGAGAATCATGATGAGACGCCGACGCACAAAGATCAATATGCCACAGAAGATCATGCAGCAGAGCACACGCACGGCCGCCGTCCAAATGGCCGCCTGTTTGGTATCAAAATCTGCCCCGAACTCGGACACAATATCGATCGCATAGAAGATCACAATAAACGTGCCGGAGAACATTTGCAGCAGCGAGAAGACGATCACAATGAAGAGCGGCTTTATGGCCACCCGCTCACAGCATAGCTTGAAAATGTTCTCATTCGTCTTGGTGGTGGCGCGTTCCTTCTCCAAGCGCTGCTTCATATCGTTCAGCTCCTTCTGCGCGCTAATCTCGCTACCCCGAAGAGATGTCAACGCCTGCAGTGCTCGCTTCTCCTTCCGATTGCGTAGCAGCCAGGCGGGCGTTTCCGGTATGAAAAAGATGGAGATTACAGCCAAGGCGGGCAATATATTGGCACACCAGGCCACACTGCGCCAATAGAGAACCGTGCCCAGCGAATAGACGAGCAGTATGCCACTCGAATAGGCAACATATGGAGCTCCAATTAACAGGCTACGCAGATTCGGCTCAGCTGTTTCCGCTATGTAGACCTGTGGGCGGGTTAAAAGATTCACCAAGGGTAAATCAATACATTCAGATTAATTTTCATTAATTAATAAAAGCATAAAAAAGAGAAAGAGAGTATGGAAGAGCTTTCCTTTCGGTTTATGAACAAAGGTAATGTATCAAGCGAATATGGAGCTCCTTTCCCCTTAAGCTATCCTTCATATTTGGTTCCAATATAGCATCCTGTTTCGGTATTTTATGTCTCTCTAGGAGAGAGCCAACGACTTGTATGATTTCCTTCAGACTTTACAGATAACCTAGATCATCATCACGGCCTTTGGAGCACCCTCAACTAATCCAATGCCAAGCTTAAGGTTTTCTTTTCTTCTATTCTATTTAGGGCATAGGTGTTTCCCAAATTCCGATTCGTCACTTGTCAACGCCAACAAATAATTCCTAGACTATAGAGTATAGAAATTGCTCTGAAAACAATGCCCTGTTCGTTGCGCAGTCTACAGTACGAGAGTTCCATTCCAAATAACAAATTTTTCATACTTCTTGATAACTTATATTTTGGAAATCCTGAACTCTGTACAAATGTAGGTAACAGGATAAAGCATTTCATACCCATGTCTGTGCGTATGTAGGAACGCGACGTTCTCTAAATACTTGAAAACTGTGAACGTATCTCCCTCTATGCCAATCGATAAATTGCCGATAAATGTTCGGTCGAAACTGAAGTTCTTTTATGAAAACCTTTATTTCAAGAAAACTTAACCAGACTTGACATTCACGTGCTTCACCATGAACCCAAATATGAGTCAAATCTCGTTAAAATCATATCGCTATATCGCTATCGCGTCATGCAGCTCCTTAGGACAACCCGGTCGGAAAAACACATTCTTTTATGGGAAAATGTTCTGTTGACAAGCTTATTATATTGGAAAACCCTATCGTAAAGCATATTCCTTTATGGAAAAATGTTCTGTTGACAAGCTCTTTGATTCTCCTTACACATATAAGCCGCAAGCTGTATGCCAGCTAGAGCATTACGTCTTCGGCTTGCTGAAGCTAGTCTTTCATTTTTGATGGGAACTGTTTTCCCATTATACGCAGCGTACGGCGCACCTAAATTTATATAAATAAATAAGCGCAACCATCTTCGCATTTAATCCAAGCAACATTTTCAATATGCGCTCGCCACAAATTCCTGGAAGCAGACAATCCACCTTGACCTCGGACAAGTTCTCGAAATGCCCGGCAAACGGCACCGACAGCAACTTTCCCTTAATTCTGTTGCCCGACTCGAGTGTATAAACAAACAAACAAACGGACAAAAAATTTGATCAAATTGAATGCAAAACAGGGTCACAAAAACATCAGGCAGCTGTATAAACCATATCAACATAATCTTAAGCTTAATCATAAAATCATAAATCTTCTGGCCGCTGCCACAGATGACAATTAATGAACTGCGAGACACACGCGCAACAAGTCGCGTACACAAACACACAAATGCCACCGAGCACACCCCCTGTGGTGCGGCGGGGAACCACCCCCAGCAACCAGGCAGCTGGGCAACGGGGCAACAACAGACTTATTATAGACTAAGGTCAAGAATCCGGAACTTGATTCGTGTGTGCGGAAAGCGTTTGCTAATGCAAATGCGCGTTTGTCCATTTAATGATTTTGCTTTCGTTTATCATTTTGGCCGCTTGATAAGTCATGGGCATATCCATAAGATAAATAATAAATACAGAAAAAAATATATGCCGGCTGTGCAAATTTGTTGCTCACTTGGACAAAACGCCGGATTAACATGGACACAATGGAGGCGCACGGAACAATGGCATTAAGTGAACAGTTGACAGCTGTCAAGCGCCCAAAATGACAACTTGTTGTGCATTTTCTCATGAGATTCGTGTTTCGTGTGCAGCATTCGCAGCACAACAGTTCCTACTGGGTGGGTTCAGGGTAATGCTTACTCTAACAATCTGGTTAATGGGTCAGATTGTACTTAATTGCGTTCCGCTCTATGTGTGAATGAACTTTTTGGGCACTGACATTGGTCTTGATTATTAACAGAGCACACAGAGTTGATCCCCTCTCAGCATATTCGCATAAAAACGCGCATTTTCCAGTGAGGAGGCGTGGATTTTACGGAAAGTATGAAATTTCCTTCTAAAGAACATTCACAAAATGAACTTGAGGCTGTTCGAAAGTAAGACAGGAAAGACCTCATACAATCCTTAGCCAAGTATTTTCCACACTTGAGCTTGGAATTTGCCAAGCTTCCGTAAAGGTAAATAGAGTAACATTTCTTACCTGACCAGGTCCTCCCAAAATGCCTGTAGCAAAGCCGCACAGGAAACGCGCAAATATCAATGCCTTCACAGAGTTTGACATCGCCATTGTGCTCCAGCCCAGGAATAGGGGTATTACCGATACTAGCAGCGTTTTGCGACGGCCCAAATAATCGGCCAGCGGTCCAGAGATTAGAGAACCAAACGGTGTGGCCAGACTATGTACGCTCGCTGCAAACAGAGTAGGCAGATAGGACATGAGATATTTATCTATTAAGGAGATGTTCGGGTGGGTTAGGATATATATTTTTGCACATGTTTATAGCATAATCTAATACAACAACAAAAGAAAAACTTTTCTAAATAATATTGTTTATTGATTCTTAATGTTTACCAGTTTATAACATTTTCAAATATAAAAAAATGATATTCCAGCTAATAAATTTTTCAAAAATTAATTCTAGTGCCCAAAAAAGGCAACAGAAAACCTACATATATGTTCATAAAATTTGCTTTTTTTTTTAAATGTTGGCTTAAATTAACTTGAAGTATATATTTATATACATAATTGCCCTATTCTCTGATATATCATGATATTATATATATTTAACTGTGGCCAGACTGGGCAAAAATTCAAAGTGATAAGTTCAGATGTTTGAAGTATTATCTATTATGCAATATTGTTGTGCGAGAAAGTTTCTCTAAAAATAAGAGTATTTTAAGTAATTAAGCTGAGTAGAGGGACTAGCCCGTAATCCTATTTAAATTAGTATTCGATATCAATATATCGAATAGCATTATTTGACTGTCAGCCAACTTTGCCTTTTCGCTTATATTTTGATCTTTTTATTCAATATTACCCTAACTAAGGCTTCCTTATTGTCATCACTAATATCTTACCTATCCAAGAACCGGTATTAACATCTATGGGCACCTCCGTGGAGTTCGAGCTGAGCTGCGGCAACAGCACCGCAGAGAAGCCAATGGGCATGCCACAGCCAGCGGAAAGCAAAAGCACCGCACAAGTGGCCAAAATCTGTTAAGGCATAAATAGAAATATTTTATTGTATAAAGCTATTGATTTAAATATAAAAATATACATAATTATCGATAGAGAAACCGATAGGAAGAGGTATTAGACAGGTATAAGACAGGCTTGAAACTGAATAATTTACAGAGATTAACCGCAGCTAAAGGGAGGGCACAAGTTCAAACTATGTATCGAAAAATCAAAATTTTTTATCTTTTATTTAGATGGGTTTTTTAAGAAATAAACAGCTGCACTTGATATTTAATTGAATGGGGAGTCGCGTTTGTTTTGTTCTGTTTGGAAGCCGAGTAATTGGCTGCAATTGAAGTTGCGACACGTTGCAATTAAAGATATTGGCACGTGTGTGCATAAGTTGATGCAACCACATGCAAGTGAACCGTTTTTCTTTATTTAAGATCAAAGTGATAAACGATCTCGGGCGAAGAAAGAATCTTTTGCAGTCTGCGACTTGCGCCTGTGTGCGCCTGTCATACAATTTGATATATTTATCGGGGTATCTGGCTTGTGACGTCATTCCCAGATTGCGGGGCCCTGGCATCGAGTTCCATTTGACTCAATTCACGACACATCAGTGTCACATGTGCGCCACATGGACTCCATGTCATGCTTTTTAATCACGCACAGAAAGTTCAATTGCGTATCTTATCATTTTGTCCTTCACAATTGGTTTGTCTGGTAGCTAGTAGCTCTAACTACTAACTAATTAATTGTGATTCGGAGATTGTATTTGGAGATGCTGTAGAATCAGTATTTCGCAACTGAAAGCTCGACTATATCAAAAGTTCTTTTCATTAAAGGTTGCGAGTTAAAAGATATTACTTAAAATACGAACCAATTGAATGGATGTTATATTTGAAAAAGACAAAAGAATATTAACCATAAAGTAATTAAAGATCTATCAAATAGAAAATTTCTTATCAGATATTAATCAATCGGATATCAATGTTTGAATATCAATCTAAGTCACCTTTCTATGAAAGTTCAATCAGAAAAGTTTGACACTCGCTTATATATCAATTATATATATTAGTCATGTCTTTCCTCAAAAATAGAGCTGTCTTTTTCATTGATCGAATGTCGAGAAAGACCTTGACTGATTTATGCTATAACTGATTTGAAAAAAGAACCGAATTGAAAGAGACTGAAATGTTGTCTCAAATAAAACTGAGTAAGATTTAGGGCACATTTCATTAGGTAAAGGTTGATTAGAATGAAAGTACGAGTACCTGTTCGCTATATGTACATATATAAAATAAATGATTAAAGTGCAAATATATAAATATAGCACATTCAAATTGAAGATATCTAATATGGGCTCTCTAAAGGTCAACTTTATAGCATCCAAGTCTGCAATTAAAGAGCAGGATGTCAGTTTTAGTGGCAGTGCCTAAATGATTTTTAAAAGCAACGCCTAATTAAATATAAGCCACGCGCAACTTATATATACTCATGAAATGTGTTACACATAGAAGGGGCGATATCGATATCGGACCTGATCGGATAATGATATCGCATAGCTATCACGGAAGTACTACAACTCAATCCATTTTTTAAAGAGGTATATTAACTAAACTAGGCATTTACAAGTTTTGCCACGGTCCCTAAATGTGCCCAATATGCTATTAGATTCGGACTACTCTATACAAAGAAACGGTCTAAGAATGAATTTTATATGCAAATGGTTGCTACTTCCTTATTATGATATTATTCTTTATTATAATATATTATTCTAATTCCTATTTCTGCAACAACAAACTGAGCAATTACTTGGCAATCATATCTACAGACCTTTTCAAGCCGATCCACTATTTAATATGAATGAAAGCATTTCTAGGTCAAATATTCACAAGGGTATTCAATATTCGGCCTGACGAAGTTAGACGTTGGTTTTTTTTTTAATATGTTTGTTACAGATTTAGTCTCAGCTAGCTAACTCTTTGACCAGGAATCTCGACGCCAACGCGAACTCTTTTAGTTCTTTTACGACTGCCACTCAACCTGGCAAACTCCTGCTGCTGCTGCGACTGCGGCAGCAGCTGCTGACGAAGGCTAAAGTTGAATTGCAAATTCAAGGACAGGCAACAAAGGTTGCCAATAAAGAGAGGGGCTTAAGAGAATCAGTTATGTGCAGATTGTTGTTGCTGGCCAAGGCAGAAATTGTTGACTGAATGAAGGAATGTTAGCTGCTCATGGACCGTGAACATACCTGATTAATCATGCCCCTGCGATTGGCCTTGTCGTAGTCCTGCTCATCGATGGTCGACAATTTGCGTGACTTCGGCATGGATATCATGGACATGGACATGGGCAACTTGCACTGAAACTCCGCACCGGGCACCACATGATACGACATCTTCTGTGGCACAAATTTGCTGTACTCCTCATCCCTGTGTTTGGAAAATAAATGAACCAATGAGTACAATCAAATAGTTGACAAATCAATTGAGATTGCAATTTATTGGCATTGTCTGCATATTCACACTCATTGACAAGCGCTGACATCAGAGTTATACGCATATATATAACTGTATATATATATATATATATATATATATATATATATAAATGCCTATATATCTTGATAAAAGTTGATTTCATAAGATGCTTTGCTTTTTAAAGGATCGTCAATTTCTTGAGCTATTCACTAAGAATAAGGTCATGCGAATTGAAGAAGTAAATAAATAAATCTTATGTTGATTTTGGCCACCTTTTCAAATCAAATATTTCAAAAATGTATCTATGGATTTATGGATAAACTTTTCTGAATTGTTATCCCATACAATTTCCCACCTTGAATTAATAGAATCTAAGATATAATTCAATCTTAGAAACTTGCTAGTTTTTTCTCTTTCAACTTGGGCGCATCTAGTCCGAGGTTCTATGAAATGAAACTATTTTTTAGTCATCTTAAAAAACTGTATTATAAACTTAACGAAACTCTAGCGATTGTCACATACAAAATTACAAAAAAGTAAGAGATTCTAGTCAACTCGGCTATTGATGCTGATCAAGAATATATATACTTTATGGGGTCGGAGATGCTTCCTTCTGCGTGTTACATACATTTGGATTTTGCACATATACAATATACCCTTATACCCATTTTTAATGGGTTCAGGGTATAGTAAATCTTATAAAGAATTCATTAAGACAAGTTCAACAGAAATCAAAGCAACAACACGAACTGTTTATGTGATATTAAAAACTGTCAACAAACACAGCCGGTTCGCTTGGGGTCATTTTAGCAAGTCGAGAGTCTACTACTCTCGATCAGTATATCAACTGGTTTAAATGCCATTCAACTGAGAGTTGTCAGCAATTATAATAAAATTAACCTACAATTACACGCCTTGTAGGTGGGGGATTTCCCGTCAGCTGTTGACTGGTTAATTGCCAGAGTTTTTACAAACAAGCCTCTAAACAATGCACTTGAGCATTGAAAGTGAGCATAAAAGATGATATAATAGAAAAAAAAAAACGGTATATTATACAAAATTATTCAAATTAAAAAAATTATACAAAATGAAGAAACTTCGATCTTATTAATGATATAAATGTAGCTTCTTGAACAGGACGATTAGTTAAGTGGTTCGGTCTGTGCCCATGCTACGATCTTTGGTATATATTCTTGTACATCACACGCAGCATATATTTTCTTCAATATACACACACATTTAAGATATCGATAGCTCCTCGAACTTCAGAGCTAAGCACAAAATATTTGGTTTATATGTTCTCTTATAATATAAACCAACATATACACGGATACTCCCGGCTGTGGACTGACTGCGAGTGTAGCTGCGTACAGGGTATCTTTTAGTCGGGCACACATTGCATATTCCTTGTTTGTTTTGATTTAGAGGCTTCAGACCGTGCAGCAGAGCGCGGAAGACGGGTGCGAGAGAGAATCAACCAACCGGATAACATTGCGTATACGTCATATGCCAAAAAGCCATGTGACGCGATTTTTGTTTTCTTTTGTTTCATCTTTTTTTTCGAGGATGATAAGCGAAAAAATAACAAACGCCAACCGGCGCCGCTGCGAATAGACAACAACAAATCCAGCGGCATTTGCTGCGTGTTTTGTTTTTTTGATATCGTTTTGTATTTGCGCACGTTTTTCATTTGATTTACCTAACTGACTGTCACCTTTTTTTTGTTTGTGTTTTGTAATTATTTGGCTTGGCGAAAATAGTTATTATAATTTATTTTATTTTTTTTTTTTTTTTTTGATTTGCTATAGTAGTTTGTTGCATTGTTTTGTTGAACAGCTGCGCTCAGTGCGAATAACTTTTGGTTGTCAAGGCAAAGCCAAATTTACCTTGATTCACCTGTTTTCTTTCATACATTTTTCAACTGTGTCCGCGTTCAATTTGACTGATAAGGAAACGCGTGTGACATATTTTCTAACAGTCATTTCAATTATGATGAATTTTATTGCATTATCAAGAAAATCGATTTTCAAAAATAGGGTATTTTTTTTCTATGCCAGGCACAATAAATTATAAGCGTAAGGAATTCCCTGAAATTTATTTCCGGAACGAAAAGTTGTACAACAAAATGCTTAGCTTATCTGTGAGTTAAAACTAAACAGATAAAACTATTTTAACAAATGGAAAAAAACAAAAAAATATATATATTTTTTTTAAATTGATCGTAATTGAATATATTTCTCGAGTGTTGTTTAAAATTTAAACACCGCTGACCAAATTATGAAGCAATTAAAGCCCTATCAAGCCTTTTAAAGAATCAAGTGTTTAGTAATTATATAAGATAACGCTTCCATAAATTGTTATCAACACGATCTTATGAACCGAACCACTTCAAACACGGAACTCAAATATAAATTGTGAACAACAAACCGAACCTTGAGGGGTATCAATAGCCAAACGAAAACCAGGTGAACATTAACCTGATCCGATGAATATGGTTAAGTTAAGCTAATGAATTTCCAATAATGAAAACATTCAAAACAAGAAAGTCAGGATGTCATCGGCAGATCTTCAGATGCAAAACCCTTGTATTAGCTTTTTACAGATTCTGTGTGAGAATTGTAAGGTTCGTAAATGCTGAGTTTTTTTGAAAATATCTGCCATACATCGAGCGATCGTTTCCAGGACATCTATATGATATGGTGGCCTGATGTTGATAACATTTTGTAACTATGTGAGAACCTTAGTGAAAGATATCTTGATAAATCGAAAGTTTTCCATGCAAGAAGCCAATTTTAGACCGATTGTTCCTACGGCAGCTATATGATATGGTGGTCCAATGTTGACAAGATGCTGCATATATGTAGAGAGCATGGTAAAACTTAGAAATGCCAAGTTGGATCAAGATATCTTGAAAAACGAAAGAGTTTTTTATACTAGAGTCTATTCTTCGATTCGGCCGCTCCCAACATACAGACTGCCTGCAATTGAAAGTCGGACCTGTGACAAGTTTCAAGAGTATAGCATTAAGACTAAAAGATTAGTTCACATAGTAACAAACAGACAGACGGGCGGCTGAACAAAGAAAAGACGGACATAACTATGTAAAGTTCTCTGTCGATGCGGATCGTAAATAAATATACTTTATAGGGTCAGAGACGTCTCGTTTTATGTGTTGCACATTTCATGTCCCGTGCAAAATTATAATACTCTCTTATAATACTTTCTCTATTAAAAATAGAAAAACATAAACTGGGCTAGGCTAGGCTTAAGAACGCGGAAAACCAAGCTCACAAAGCGAGCCTAAGGGCAATAATTTGCAAAAAATTAAAATAGTTCAGAATCTTAAGAAACAATTGCTCTGCTATTAGCTAAAATTAAAAAAAAAAGCGTCGCCGATCTATTAGTCCGGCAAATATATAACCTTGGACATTAAACTCCACGTAAATAGCATTGGACGCGCCAAAATCGAGTAAGCGTGAATTGCATATATAAAAGTAAAGAAACAAAAAACAAACAAAGCCACAATAAATTCCCATGCTATGTATTAGAAATATTAAGCTTTATTTTAGAACAAGAGGAAGCACCTGATAAAGTTCAATGTGCCGAAAACATAAATAACAACAAATAAAAAGTAACCCAATGACGGACTCAGAACAATTGATAGAACGGATTAGAAACAATTGTTAAACAATTAATGGCACGAGTTGCACGCCGTATGGAAATTCAAGTATCACACGATGTTAATCAATAAACGGCGTGATTGATGCCAATGAGAAAGTTGAACGCGTTGCGCTTATCAATTTGTATGCCCTGAACCCATTGAAAATGGACAAGAAGGGTATATTGGTTGCCTGCAAATGTATGTGACAGGTAGATTGAAGCATCTCCGGGCCCATAAAGTATTTACATATATATTCTTGTTGTATATGATATTCCTTTAGCAGCGAGATTTATTAAACTTGACAAAGCTTCTGGAATGGTTTATGTAGGTCAAATGTATTGCTAGAAGAGTGTTAGGGTATCTCCTATTTGGTAGCTCCCGACTAGAGCCTCTTACTGGTTGAAGTGTGAATTGAACAAGTTTCTACGGAGGTTGAGCGAGCAAATTAGACAATTGATAAGAGGCATATACATATATATTGATATAATATAGTGATACATATATAAATGTATGAGAGTAGTCCAACTTCATTTGTTATTGATTTGTGACTTTGCAACCTAATTGAACCAATTAAGAAGGCAACGAGAAATATGCGTATGCAGGCCCCAAAAAAGCGCCCAATCAGGCATATCGTATACATGAATATATACATAGAACAACATTTATATAGTCAATATATACATTAAAGAAACGCATTGATTTCATTCTCATTAGCGCTTTGCTTGTTGTTGTTGTCATGACAGCCACACGCTGCGTATGCGTAATTAAATTGCACAACAGGCTGCAAAATATTGTATGTAGATAAGATAACTGCCGTTCAGCGTGGGAATTTCTACTATAAAATCAATATTTATATAAATATATATGTACAATTAAAAATCGGCAGCCTTATCGCGTTAATTAACAAATTTATAAGCACATTTATTTGATAATTGCAAAATCAACAGAAACAGCTTGAAGTCATGTCTCTTCCAATTAAGGTTTTTGATTGTACATAAAAAAAATGGATAATTTGTTGAATTTCTAGAAGTTGATTTTCGTGAATTTCTAGAATTTCACCATCTTGTGGAATTGTTTGAATAGTAGTAATCAATCAATATTATTTATTTGCCAAGCAAATTGTGACTCAAACAGAAGTTTTAATAGATTTATTGCAATTTTTATAACAATTTCCAGAGTCAACGATGAGTCGGCAATACGTTTTTTTTAGAAATTGCTAACAAGCCTTTGCATTGGTTTTTTAGCTAGCCACACAGATCCAACCAAACAGTCTGTCAGCTGTCTATCTAGAGCTAATCTTGGCTCGATCATCGCAAACATGAGTGTGTGCTCTATTATTATGCTTTATTTGCTTTTCAATTCTATACCAAACAAATAACAAGTAAGAGGTTCTAGTGGGGAGCTCCCGACTAGGGGATACCCTGAACCCGCTTCTTCCAACATCAAATAAATATATATATATATTCTATTTTAGAAGCTATATGTAAAGTTTGGTGACTCTAGCTCTTATTATTTACCAAAATTGCCCTAAAAACAGGATATCGATATCGATTATTATTATTATTATCGATTGCTTGGAAACGGAGTAAGTTATCGAAACAAACTCGATCTGCGCGGGAACTAGGAGCATCTACATCTAAAATTTCAAGTCTCTAGCTCTTATAGGTTCTGAGATCCTTGCGTTCATACATACGGACGGACGGACGGACGGACGGATGGACAGACAGACGGACATGGCTAGATCGACTCGGCTCTTGGTGCTGATCAAGAATATATATACTTTATGGGGTCGGAGATGCTTCCTTCTGCCTGTTACATACATTTGGATTTTGCACAAATACAATATACCCTTATACCCATTTTTAATAGGTTCAGGGTATAAAAAAAATTGTTAAACAAGAAGTTGTATTTTCAAGTAATATGAAAAACCAAAATGTAATTAATTACATTTAATATGATAAACAAAAATAATAATAAGGCAAGTCTTTAGAAGAAAGTGCCATAAATATATTTTCATATAATAATATAACTCATAACTCCGAATAATGACATATAATAAATAAATGCTTATTTAGCTGGCTCGAGGTCCTCGTTTTGATTTATATATTTTTATATCTAAAAATGACCAACAATTTTCTTTGATAAATTATTCCGATATATCAAATAAATAATATATATGTATTTATATGTATAAATATATCGAATAAATATGTGCACATATATTTCGAAACTATGTTTAAAAGCGAATTAAAAATTCTCCTCTTCCGATAAAATTTTCTGTTGGTATATTTCAAAATTTGTTGGCATAACATTTACAACTTTCAAGTAATTTTCGTAACTTATGTGTACTCTTAAAATTGGGTAATGCTTTTATGTAAAATTGTGCAGCAAAGTTGAAAGAAAAGGAAATACTTTGATCAAATATTGCATTTAGTATATCAGAAGAGTTAGATAATGTTGTTCAAAAATAAAAAATTGTATTAAATATTTTACAAATATTTATTCAGTGAATTTTCTTGTTATTAAAATATATTGACTTCAATTTCTAATATTAAGAAAGTTTAATTTAATAAAATAAATACATATAACTTTAAGGAGGTTTCTTAAAAATTAAGAAAACAATTTTATTTAACTATTTATTAAAATTATAAAGGTTTAACTGAACTGCTACTTTAGAAAAAAAAAAGAACATTTTCCTTATAACTGATAAATCTTATCTGATTGTTAAATAACAATTTACACACAACTACCGCTTGCTGGCAAAAGGCAATAAGTTTATTTTTTAAATTGGCAATAAAATCACGCGATTTAAATCTTGATTGGACACTAATCTTCAAGGCAGCATTGATCAGAATTTGATATGTGTGATGGTCTAAAGTTCAGAAAAATATTTCGCAATGTTTGCTGTTTGTATTTTTTTACATACTTTCATTGTTTATTTTTGTTTTATTATTTATATATGCACATTTTTTTTTTTTTTTGTTTTTGGTATTTTGGCCAAGCAATAGGATCGTTATCAAAGTTCAACGCATTGCGTCTACAGGGCCCACTGGCTAATCAGGACTGGCAGCTGCCATTTGAGTTGAAGGCCTGGCAACAGCGGCGACAGCAAAGATCTTGTCGAAATATGGAAAAACTCGTTTTTTTTCTTTGTCAAGAGTCACGGCTTTCAGTCGAGACAGGTTGAATATGCAAAGGTAAACAGACTAAGACTGTGAACAGCTGTGGCATTTTTTTTGTAGAGGCTTTTTTTTTAATATTTGTTGCCCTACTATTTGGTTGTTGTTTATATTTAACATTTGGAATTTACCTTTCGCTGCTCATTTTGTATTTAATTTAGTCAGAACACGCACAGCGCAATTGCAACTTTATATAACTAGCGATTTTCCAGAGTCAGAGTCAGAGTCAGAGACTTGAATTTAATGCGCTACTTAAGACACATTCGATTTTAACATTAAATTTAAACGCAGACACTTAACACACATACACACACACACACACACACACAACTATAACACGCGATGATAATAAAAAGCAAGCTGCACAGTCACACGTCGACTTCTTTTGCTGCCAAATTGCGAACTGGCTACACGAATATTGCAAAGTCGGCTTTTTATTTATGAGCGTCGCATCGAGTCGATCGTCAATTGGTTGATCCACACACACACACACACACACACACAAGCAAATACAGACGAGGACTGCACGAATAGTTTGTGTAAGCAATAATTAAAAGGAGAAGAAGAAGTCTTAGGTGAAATGAAGAGAAAGAAAGAGAGAGAGCTGGAAAGAGAGAGAAGAGCGGCAGAGGCAGTGCTACCTAAGTGAGCAGGATAGGGGAGCTAATGTATTTTAATTATAATCATTAAAAAAAAGTATGTATATATATATTAAAAAAAAAGAAGGATGTTTATGTATTTGGATATACATTAATTCATTCAATTTATAATTGATATTTATTTATTATATATGAAAGTTTACTCAATATTTTACATTTATTATTAACATTTAAAGAAAAATTTGTATGTATATAGGTATACTTTATATTTGATTTTTATTATAAATACACGCACTTATATACATATATGTATTAATAATTAACTAATATATCTATTACTTAAATAAATTATTTAAAGATATACAATATATTTAATTAGGAATATTCTTGTGGCAGCCCTCGCATAAAGACGTACAAAATAAGCGATCGGCGTTTATTTTAAAGCGCTCTCGCACTCTCACTTTTCGCTACGCTCTGGTACGCCGGCAAACACTTGATCAACTGTTTAAAGCGCCTCTGTATCTGCGCTTACTCTTAAAGCGAACAAATACTCTCTTAGCAGCATGTGATGAGCGCACGCTGTGCATTATTTAAGCGCTGCTCTTAATATATCGCTCAATGCTTTTGTGGTTGCTGTTCCGGATAAAAGCTTAGGCTGCAGTCATTGAGTAATAAAGAGAAAGAGCTGATCTGACACTCTGAGCTTTTTTTTAGCGTTTTAAAAACCACGAGTCATAGATCGAGTTGGTCCGCAAACGCAAAATCAAACCCAAAAAAAAAGCTCGTTTACCATAGGAAGCAACAACAAATCACTTGCAAAACAACAACAGTGCGCACGAAGCCCAATTTTTTCTTCACCCCCCGTTTTGATCGACAAGAGGTTTGTGAGCCATAATGAGGACATAGGAAACTCAGTGCAAAAAAAAAGGGACAAAAAATGCCACTGTGTTCCTTGCGGGTTTCTCTGTCGCTCCTACAAGGCAGCGCGTAGAAACAATTACAGCATAATTTGTGTACTAATGTTGTTGTTGCAGAGCCGAGTCTCGGCGCAAGTAGGTAGAAAATTTGAATGCCAGCAAGCCATGGCATTCAGATCAAATGGTTACGCACGGCGCCCAACATCATATATTATGATGTCACAGTTAATAGAATTTTATTTCTTGTGATGTTTAGTATATATTTCTACCTATATTACGTACATTTAAATAACTTATGAATGGGGTCTTTTATAGAAAATAATTTGTTGACATATGTTATAATTTTATATACGCAATGATCGCACATAAAAAGCCTTGGACTGTGACGTCACAGGCGCAACAGAACGTTGCAATCTTCTTAAATTCATAGACTTCCCTTGGCTTGGCAGACACATACATATATGCAAATTTGCACCAATATGTGTGAGATGAGACACACATAAACAAATATTTGGCGGGTCGCGGCATTGATACTCTTTTTTATAAGAATGGTATATAATTTATAAAGAAAACAATTATTATTGACTGCACTAATAGTTGCACACTAAATACAAAATTATATTTTTTATAGACATTAAATAAAATTGTATGTATGAGATGGTTTGTGCTATTTGGTTACATTGCTTATGAATAGTTAAAATACCCTATTTTGAGAAAAGGTGCCTTGCTGGTCGAAAAATGAAAAATTATAAAAATCTGCCGATCTGCTTGCAAGTTGAAAGCGAGTGGAGAAGAAGAAGACATGACTTTGCGAATTATGGGCATAGCAGTGCTTAGAAACCACAACAATGAGTTAGAAGGGTGCAGAAGCTAAGATCATAGACTGTAGCCTTAAACAAAAAGGGATAGCAAGGACAGAATTTGTGGTGTGCTTTTTTCAATATCGAGTCGTTTGTTTTGATTATGGTTCTTGTTGGTTCTTATGGAAAATGTTTTGAATTTGTCATTGAATTGTGGGCATCGGCAGAAGTAGCTGCAGACAGCCGGGTGTTGTGTTTGAAATTTTTGTTTGCAACCTCGTTTTCGCTCAGGAAGTTTTTCTAAAAAGAGCTTTTGATCCAAACGCCTGCTCTTTCTCTTTATTGCTCAATGGGCTACAGTTAAATGTTCGAGGCAAGAGGTTAAGTAGAAAATGAAATATAACAACAGTTACCTTTACTTATTAATATGTAACATATGTATATACTAATATATATATTTTATGCGTATATTTTAACGCAAGTAACAAGTTTATTTGTAAAAATGCCCACATTCATCAAATTCCTGGTACTAAAAAAGCTTTTATAATATTACATATGGCGTGTATATATCAACAGCAAAGTCTGCCACAATTGCCAACAATTATCCCTCAATTGTCAACCTTAGTTGTACCTGCCGCCTGGCCACCTGCCCACCTGCCAACCTGCCTATCTGCTGCAGTTCTCAGGCTCAGCCAGCTGATGCTCTTTTTGCCAGGGCTTTTTAATGCCTTGCTAACGACCTGTCAAGGCTTTCTTGCCATGCGCTGCGCGAAGTTTTTTAAGCTGCGTCACAATCGGAAATGTTGCCGAAGGGCCAACAGAAGCTGAATTGAAAAAGCTTTTCATTCATAACCTTGCACAACAACAGCAACAGCAACAACAACAACAACAACAACAGTAAGCAAGTGCTAGCAAGCCTGCTGTAAAAAAGTCAAATAAAATGAACATTAAATGCGTTACAGAATTATTCAGGTTATGCATATTATTATAATATTTTACTGCGCTTTTGATGTTGTTGTTGATGCTGCTGTTGCTCGTCCCTTTTTATTGCGCCCGTTGGCGCTACTTTTATAATCTCCTTATAGTTTTACCCTAACGAACGACTGGTTCCTGCCTGTTCCGCTTGCGCCTACGCACGCACACATACAAAAAGCAACCCAAACGCAGCCGGACGCCAACAGTTTCCCGTTTGATTCCATACACGCTAAGCTTTAACACATGTCCCAGCGGCAGAGCGCAAGCAGCGCAGCTTAGCGCAGCATCACCAATCCTCCCACACTGTGTAGAGCTAGCTATGCCGCCCGTCGACGGCAGCAGCGTCATTGTGGCTTTCAGTGTCTAGGTCGAGGCAGCATCGACAGCGGCAGCGGCAGCGACAGATTTTCATACTCCAGCTAGAAGGTGTCAATATGTATGTGTGGGAGTGTACTGTATATCATGTGTTGAACTCAAGGTTACCCACTCTATCAAAAGCACAGTTATATTCGTTTTTCGTATGCCCAAATTCTTTTTAGAATAGTTCAGCGGAAGAGCAGGATAGAAGAGGTCGCAGACAACATGTGTTGGAAGAGTGTGGAGATACAACAAAATTATAATTTAACTTTAAATTTATTGATATTTTGCCAGAATGAATAGACAATGTTTTTTACATATGTGAAGAAAAAATTATTTCAAGAAAAATATATTTTTTTAGCAATCACAGTCAGTAATTTTTCCATAGTTTTTGAAATTAATATGTTATTTCTCAGGATTTGCTCTGTATTGATCTCTCTTCAAATAAGAAATTGGATAAGTTATTAATTTCAATATATTCAGTATACACAGTATATTTTTAAAGACAAACCTCTTAGGCTTGTCGAAAATTCTATATTTCAGTTTTTATAAAAAAAAAAATGCCTATTTTTATTTCCGAATCAGATTTCCACGAAATCTGCCGGACCGTAAACTAAATCTCCGTCGCAGCTACAACTACAAAATATTCGCGGAAGTTCAACTGGTGCATAAAATATATAATTTAAGCTCGCGGCACGTGTTATGAAAGATGAGCCCAGAAATTCCATGAATTTCATGTGCCTCAGATGAATATTATTGCAATGCTTAGCTCAGCGGCTTAAAGAAGAATTTTTAAATACAGTTAGTTATATATTCATCTAAGTTTGAAGCTTTTCAATATTGCGTGCAGCATTTGGTTTTTATTGCTAAATTAACTGTGCTAACTGTTGGCAGCTATAAATGTTAATTTTCTGGCTTAACTTTTTACCCAAGCGCTCTTCACCCCCAAAAATATGCAACATATCCGACACATCCATACAAGAACGCATAGTTAAGTGTATAAATATTTCTAGGATCCAATTTACAATAGGGCACACGCACACGCACAAACACACGCTTACTTGCACCTACACATACTAAGTGATAGCTCTGCCGCGGTCGCTGCCTCTGCCGCGGTCGCTGCCTCTGCCGAAAAATTGCGGCGCCAGTAAATCATGTTGTAAATCAAACGCAGCCGTGACGCCGACTGCGCTGCGAGCAGAGCCATACAAATTTTTATAGCAAGTGCGGCGCGCGCGCTTGCAAAAGCTTTCAGCGCGCTCACGCAAAAGCTCCGCTGTGTGGGTGGCCGACGCGTACGCGTCGTGTGGCTCTGCTGCTGCCGCTGCTGCTGCTGTTACTGTTGGCGTTTTGCTTTCAGTTGCTTTCGAATTGTGCGCCAAAGTGGTTGCCACATGTTAACTAACAATCAATTAACACCTAAACCAACAGCAATAACAACAACAACAACAACACAAATAACTTTAACTTTAACCAACAACAAAAACTCAATAAATTCGCTTTCGCGGCAAAAATTGTGTAAGTCGCGTTTTCAAAGCGTTTCCACTTCTTCTTTTTCTTTGATTGTTTTAAAATGGAAAAAAAGGAATTTTTTTATCGTGCGCTTTAGATTCACATAGAAAATCGTATTTTTGTGCGTGCTGCTGTCCTTATTGAGTGCGCGTGTCCTTCGTGTAGCTGCCGCTGCTAACTTGACTAAATTTTTTAACAATTTAATTGGCAACTGACGGCGCGCG